TCTCTGTCTAGTACTGCCAATAACATGAGCTAAGGTTAATAAAGGCTAAGGTGTTTGTGTGCCTCTGTGCTTTTTTCTATGGCAGGTCTTTATGTGTCTGTATGTGTGAGTGTTTTCTCATGGCAGGTTGTTCAAGTGGGAAAGGCTGGGTAATTAGACGCCATGGGCGCTTTACCTAGGTCATGGACTTCAACACACTTCAACCTCTTCAATCACAAATATAGGCTAACCTTGTATTGTGAAACAACACAAACCAGAGTCATACACAGTTTTCATAAATCGCAAATTAGATATTAAATATTTACTTCTATTGTATTCGAATTGCATTAGAGTGTCTCAAAACAATTTCTCTGGGAAACTGTCCCGACGTACAGTTTTTAATGATGTGGCAGTTGTAGTTGTGTGCAGTTATACTGAGGTTAGCCCACTGGAACTGTTGAAAGTTAAAACTCTGAAGCCACCATACTAATCTAAGCATTCTGAAAATGATTTTGAAACTGTTAAAGTCATTCCAAATTAAAAACCCATTTTAGTCATGCAGTTTTACCTATATCCTCTTTAATACCTATACCTTTACCTTTCTGTCAGAAAATTTACAAAGAGAAAGTACTACTCGGTTACTATCGTAACCTCGGTTCACTGAGAGAGGGAACGAGCATTGCGTAGCTATACGCAGTGGGGAAACTCCTTTTCCTAGATTTACTGAAGCTTACATGTTAAACGCATTTGAAGCTGTACAGCTAGCACATTTAGCATCCGACTCGCTTAGGCTGTGCTGTGGCAACTGCACATCCAATGGTAAGGGCGCCTCTGACGTGCGACCAATGAGCTAGCTTTACGTCAACATGCGTCAGAGCCTGTCAAGTGCGCATGGTCTTAGCCTATATTATTCTCCCGAATTTGCCATTATACCAGGTTTCAACGACTTAAGCGACAACTCGCCAAGTTACTATAGTGCAGCGGGCTGCACAATACTTGTTCCCTCTCTCAGGGAACTGAGTAGTTCCTTTTCCTTTTCGAACGGTCACTTTAAAGTGATGATGTTATGCAAAACACTGCACCCAAAGTAACTGACAACAAACCCCTGAGCTCCTAGAACAAGCCAGAAACCCAAGTATATACGGACACCGTCTGGTCTAGAACAATATCTGTTAGTAGCAAAACCAACATAATAAAACCAGACACGGTTGGGATTATTAGTATAGGAATTATAAACAACCAAAGCGGGTTTTATATAATATATATGTGCACAGTAACATATTTAGACATGACCAGACACCGTCGGGCCTTGTCATACAGAAAGTACCTTCGCCAGCACCTCCATCTTATAAAACTTCATAAATGTGGAAGGAGAGGACCAGCCGGCCGCATCACAAATATCCTGGATGGGATAACCAGATGATCATGACCATGCCCATGACGAAGCCATGCCCCTGGTCAAATGGGCTTTGACACCCATGGGGCAAACCTGACCCACCGAGGAATAAGCCTTCGAAATGGCATCCACTATCTTCCACAGTCTTTGCTTAGTGACTGGATCACCCTTTGATCGGCCACCGAAACAGACAAAAAGCTGTTCTGATTGTCTAAAAGATGCAGAAAGCTCCAGATAGATCATCAGTATTTTGACAGGGCAGAGAAGGTTAACCTCCCCATCCTCTGCAGAAGGGGTAAAGGCTAATAACATAATAATCTGTGCTCTGAGCGACGTTGAGAGCACTTAGGGTATATAACCCTGATCGCTTGATAGATGCCAGTGCCAACAGGAGAGTCTTTAGTGAGAGAGGTTTAAGATCAACCAACTTGAGCGGCTCAAAAGGCGGAGCCCTTAGAGCCCCAAGGACCGTGGAGAGGTCCCAAATAGATACAGAACCTACTCCCCAACCCAGGTTGGATGCATCTGTGAAAACCAGTTTCCTCCTGGTAACTACTCCCATGGTCACACCCTCGTGGTACGATCCCTGAGCCTGCCAGGGAAACAAGGTTCTTAAACAACCGTGATTTACCCTGATGCGCAGACTGCCTGACTGCCATGCATGGGCATGTCCAGCGAGGGCTGAAATGTTTCGGCATGGCTTGTTGGGGTGTGCAGCTCTAACTCGCTAGCTAGCACCTGTGGTCGGGCAGAGAAGAGTGGCCGCAGCCTCTTCGAGGGGCGGCAACTATACTCACAGCCCTTTTCCGCCGCACCGTCGCGGAGGAGAGCGTTATGGAAATTTTGGTCCCACATGAGCTGAATAAGGAGCACGCCAAGCCTTGGTCAGCTCCTCGTGCACCTCAGGCAGAAAAGGTTCAGGCCTGTGACAAGGAGCCTGCTGGCGACCCGCCAGAAAACAGCTATCCAGCCGACTTTGCGTAGGCTCTGCGGGGGAGGCTCACTGAAGCTCGAGGTCCGAGACAGCCTTCGTCAGGATCCGAAGCATCTCCGTTTCAGAGTTAGTCCTAACTGCTAAAACGCTGGCGGCATGCTGGGAAGCGATGGTGGGGTCGAGAGAGGCCGGCCATCGCCAGATGCGACGATGAAGAGGCCGTCGTCGTGTCCCTTGATGGATCCGCCGAAGGAGACAAGGCCCGCCATGTGAGTGGGGAGGTGCTGATCTCCTGCGAACAATACCGGACAGGGCGTTTGAAGGGGGGGAACGAGGCACACGGGGATGTGGCCGCCATGCGCTCGCTAACCTCCATACTCTCGGGAGAGAGCTAGCCGCATTCGCAACACAGACATGGGCATGCTCTCGCAGACCATGCAGCCACTGGAAGCGAGTGCAGTCTCCACTTGGACGATCCCCAGGCATGAGATGCATCTTGTGTGCTCGTTGCCCTCATGCAGATTGCCTCCGCACGTGGCACAAGTATCTGTAAAATGAAATGAAAGCATATAGCGTCGTCGCTGGTTAGCAACAGTTAAGATGGAGTCGGGAGAAACTGGCTAATGAAGGCATAGTGTGCTGAGATGAGGCACCTCAGGCTGAAGGGCTTGTTCTATGGCGAAAGCTCAGTAAAAAGTTAGAGACGCGAAGTTGTCACTTAAAGAGTAAAATCTGCTATAATGGGCATAATTTGGGACTAATAGAGGGCCTAAGTCCCCCCCTTCAGGTCGACCACCATGAGACCTTATTTTTGAAAAATATTGTGTTGGCGAGAGACAACATTTTGGTCTCGTTTGAATTGTGCCCTGAATTACACACTCGTCCTTTGAGCACCCTCATATGGAAACAGAGTAGAACTGCAACCAGTGCAATCAGTCTCTGATATAAGCTTCAGTAAATCGAGGAAGGGAGTTGTGTAGCTACGCAATACGGAGTAACCGTTCGAAAGGGAGGAGGTTTTCAAATGGGTTCTTATAAATCTAATCATGAACAGAATATGGAACATTGATCAAAATAAATTTAGGTTATTACACTTAATTTTAAGGAGTCCTTGTTATAGTTTACAATTAAATACTGAGTAATATTAATATCATCTACTTACTATGTACTAATATGTAGGCTACTTATAGGGTTGCATGCAATTATGCGTTAGTTACTATAATAAGTACATGTAATTTGCCAAACATTGTAAAAAATAAAGTGTTACCAAAAAATTACAGTGGTTCAGGCATAACCAAGTGGATTACAACAATTATGATTTAAAAGTATTAAAGGACATGAATACAAACTAACTCATATCATAAATATCACCAGTATCATGTCATACATTTCACAATTCAGCCTACAACATCTCTCACTTTAAAGGCAAGCTTTCTGCAGCGCACTAACGCGCATTAGCTTACTCGAGGATTAAGGTAGGCTACATTCTTATGCTGGTCCAGGACCAGCTCTAACACAAGAATCCTGGTTTAAGCATTAGAAATAAAACTGACCAGGAACGAAAACATATAAATAAACAGAACTTGGTAGATTTGCTCTGAGCCCCATCTGCTGGACAACAGGCTGCAACTGTCATCCAGAAAATATAGTTCGATCAGTAACAAACAGATGTGAAATACAGATCCTTTACCATTCATTACCTTTAAATAGCCTACTAGTTATACATAATGGTACGGTATAAATGTGTTCTCACATTTCTGAACAAGATGGTTGGGGAAAAAAAAAACTTCAACCAATTGTGAAAATTGAATTGTATCAGAATCTTTTAATTTAAATAATTGTTATAATCATTTGCTTTCTTTTGTGTTCATTGGTCTTTAAGCCTATTATTATATCCTATATAAAAATGTCCAATGTTGGAAAATTGTAACACTGACATCTATAAGATGAAATAAACCAAACTGTACATGTTCAAGAATGTGTGTGTCCCTTTTTAGTTAGGATACTGTTCTTTGCCTTTTAAGATTTTGATGGAGAATAGCAATGAAGCTTGTTAGAAAACACTTCTAATTTAGACTGTATAAGACAGAGTTGTTGTAAGACCAATTTTGTAAATGATAAAATACACAAATTACTGTCCACAACAATATTCGAAAGTCCCATCATTTTTCCTGTTGTTTGTGATTTAGTGAATAGGGCTTAAGGATTAAAAAAAAAATGACAATAAGATACCTTGTTTTGTTTTTGTTGTTTTTATTTTAATTTCTTGCTTTGTCTTATTTAAAAACATTTTAAGTCATCGTGAGCCCCCCTTAGAAATGCTGAGGCCCTGAGTGAGCATGGACCCCTGGTTGAGAACCACTGGCATAAACTACTGCTGCTAATGCGCAGCCTTTACACTTAAATTTTGTTTGCCTTGTTTCTAAAATGCTTCTTGACAAGTAAACAGCACGCTCGAAATCAATGAAAGTCACATGAACTTCCCAGGAGAACTTAAAAACATAGCAGCCCAAATAAAAGGTCAAAGAGAGAGAGGGAATTGGTCAAAATTTATCGAAGAAAAAAGTTAAGATTATAACTAACATTATAGGTGGACTAATATAATAAACCCACTTATTTAAAAAAAATGTGAATGACCCCTCTAACCCACACTGTGTCACGTGACTCGAAATTCTCCGGTCCAGCCAGGATCCTTATGGCCAGGATGAGCGAAGCCAGAAAATGGCGGATTTTGAGGAGTTACGGGTAGGCGAAAGTGCAATGATAGCTGGCTACTTTGCGTTTTTCATATTCTGAAGATATTTTGCAGTTACCGTTTTGATACGCTATCGAATCGGTCGGTTTGCTGCCCATAGGTTAGTTTCTTTAATAGAGAGACGTCACATCAGTCTGTTACGGATTGTGTTTAGCTGCTAGCTTGTTAGCCACCAACCAGCTAACGTACTATCTTAGCTCTCGAGATGCTACACAAAAATTGAAGAACAGCCTCAAAATGTCACTGCTTTCATTGCCATCTTTCACTGCATGAACACGCTTTATTATAATGCCTAACTGAACTTGACGACTGTTCGCTGCAGGTAAAAAGTTTTTTACGTTACAATTTCTCGAATTGTTTTGGTTGGTCTTTTGTTAGCTAGCTTCCGAGCAATTGAAAATGTCTTCATGTAAGTTACTCACAGGTGTAGTTTGATGTATAACCTGTATTTGCTTGGGTAAATAATGTGTAGACCAGTGTGTCCTAATATGTGTGTGTGTGTGTAAATGTAATTGGACGCACATTTTACATTAAATTGTGTAACGTTAGTATAAACATTAAAGAGGGACACATTGACAATGTTGTTTACAAGCTTAAAGCAAAACTTTATTTTTATCACTGTGACCGTTTCATCACCATATTTGTCTCAAGAGAATTATTTTTTACTGGCATTGTACCTAAACCATCATTCTAAAGTTTCATTTATGCGTTGTACTTCAGCATGAGCACCAACACAACCCTTAGACTGTGTGTTGAATACAGAAAAGTTAAGACACCTACTTCTGTGTACTAATTATATTGCTATTATTTGATTGATTCATGTTGTTTTGTAATTAGTTCAGAAACATCCCATATAACTTTAAACACAGCTTTTTTTTTCGGCAGTTCAGTTAATTTCTTTCTGGATCAAAGTGAACATCTGTTTTGTCCTTTGTAATGCTTTTGGTGTTCATCTAATGGGTCTTGGAATTATTCTCAACATTTTAGATGCATTTCGGTCATTTGTTAAGGATTTTTAAAGAAAAAAGGATTAACACATAAGAACAATCAAGCATGGACCGGGTAATGAAGGGTCAGTTGAGATTTTCTTATTTCTCTGGGGTTTCTGGAATGGGTGTATTTGGGTGGGTTGTCACCTCACTTTACATATAATTCTGATATTAATTAATCTGCTGTACAAATTACATATTTTGGCTCATTAATATTTTATATTATTATTATAAATGAAAAACATGGCAAACTTGTGGCACAGATGGTGTTTTTTCTTACTAACTTGTGCGGCAAAAAAGAATTAGCTTGATCATGCTTTTCCATGTTTGCTATTTAAAAGTCTTTTATTGCTTGTCTGGATTTGTTTTGCAGAATATGGTATCAAGTTTCCGTGTCTCAGAGCTCCAGGTACTGTTAGGTTTTGCTGGAAGGAATAAGAGCGGTCGCAAGCATGAACTATTGCTGAGGGCTTTGCATCTACTAAGGAGTGGTTGTGGACCTGCCGTGCAGATCAAAATAAAGGAACTGTATTGTCGGAGATACCCAAGGACTTTTGATGGTCTGCAAGATTTGGCGGCTCTAAAGTCAAGCATTAAATCCTACTTTCACATAGACAGTGGCGCCACAATTGTGAGCTCAGACCTTCCCCCGCAAACCGGCCATTCGGACCTCCTGCAGCAGCAGCAGATGAGCTGTGATTCACCTGTTTTACATGAATTAAAGCCCATAATGAATATGCAGCAGCCCACGTCGCTTATGGCTCCTGTCCACCCGGACGTGCAGATGAAGGCCCTACCGTTTTACGATGTGCTGGATGTCTTGATCAAACCATCAAGTTTAGGTAATTTTATACAAAATGGGTTTTACCAAGCGTGGATAAACTAAATAAATAAACTTTTGATTAGAGTGTGGAAATGCATTGCACATTTAATATATTTATAGCCTTAAACTTAAAAATAGTGTTATAGTTTGTGTAATTGTGTGTGTAATGTTTTTGTTGTTGTTGTTTTTTAGTAATTAACTTAATTAGCAAGAATGCATTCAATTGATCAAAAGTGACCGTAAAGACATTTAGCCTGCTACAAAGAATTTTTATTTTAAATAAGAGAACTTTCTATTCATCAAAGAATCCTGAAAAATGTATCACAGTTTCCATAGAAATATTAAGCTGTTTTCAACATTGATAATTATAAGCAATGTTTCTTGAGAAGCAAATTAGCATATTATTTATGATTGATCATGTGACACTGAAGACTGGAGGAATGATGCTGAAAATTCAGCTTTGTCATCGCAGGAATAAATTGCATTTGAAATATATATAAAATGGTGTAATATTTGACAAAATTGCTGTTTTACTGTATTTTTGATCAGCAGAAAATACCTCTTCAAAAACATTGAATCTTACCGAACCCTACCTTTTGAACGGTAGTGTATTTTGAACGGTAATTGCTATCCCATCAGCTGGGTTGTGCATGATTTCCTCATTGCCTGTGTCTTAGGTTTAAAACTATACCCCCTATGACTTGTGTTTTAAAGGGACCCATGCCGTTCAGAGGTTTCATCATGAGAAGTACTTCATATTTGCATTGACTCCACAACAAGTGAGAGAAGTTTGCATTTCTCGGTAAGAACTAAATGACTTAAATGCGACTTAATGTGACTTTTGTTTTACTCCTTTTCTGAAATTTATTGGTTCTTTTTTGTTCTTAAACTTTTGCATAGGGACTTTCTTCCAGGTGGAAGAAGGGACTACATGGTTCAAATTCAGCTGCGGTAAGAACAAACTTAATATGCTTTTCCTATTACCTGTCATTTGTATATCATATTCTGGAGCATATACAATGATGTTTGTCACCATAATCTCAATTAGGGATGCACGTTATTATCGGCTCGGCATCGGCCAATATGAATTAAGTATGCCAATATGTCCTGCCAGTGTGATAACGTGTTGATTCTTGAAGTGAACTTTTGCATGTATGGTGATTTATAAAACTCACTGTTTTCGATTGCTGCCTTGATTTTGTGAATACAAAAACAGAAGGACGCGATACTCAACAGATGCATGTGCAGAAGCCTCCCCTGGTAGAATGTTATATTTATTTAGTAGGGGTCCTGTTGTTATACTAATAAAGTGACAAGTAGAATACACAAATAAATTACTTCTGTTTTTGGATAAATAAAAAAGTAAATGATGTCATAAATCACAAGCATGACACTTGTAAATTAAATCATAACGTTATAACATTTATCTTTAACAAGTAACATTTTGGTAAGGAGACGTCAGTACTCAAAAAAACAGAATTAAAAATGAAAAAATAATTGCATTGCATATCGTATTGGCTATCATCCAAAATCCAATTTTTTCATCCCAAATCTCAATTTTAACACTTGATGTTCTGTTTTGATTCTAGGTTTTGTCTAGCAGAGACCAGTTGTCCACAAGAGGACAATTATCCAAACAGCCTGTGCATCAAAGTCAATGGAAAGCTCTTCCCCCTCCCTGTATGTAGACCTGTTTAATGTGTTTTCCAAAACTAGTTCTTAAAAATGTATGTGAATTATAGTCACTGTGAAATCAAAAAGGACAAATCTTATTTTGGTATGAAATATTGCAGTGTTTATTATGATTTATCCATGCACATCATTTTTATGTTCCCTCGTAATCTTTAATCAAAATAACTTAGCAAACCACAACCATTTAATCAATTCCTGATAGACAAAATCAAGTCCTGCCATACATTTTTTCTTTTTCGAGGAGCTGTTTCACTTTGATATGCATCATATTAGAGAAGAAAAGACTATCTGAACTTTTGTTTTGTGCCAACTTTAAGTTAATGAAATAACTAGGTTAATGCGAGCTTAATCCAAGAACGTGGTGCAATTTAATATGGTAACTGAGATATTTAACAAATAAAATATTGAAAACAATTGTCGTAGTCCACCACCAAAAACAAAAAAATAGAAATTAGCTGATGCAATGCATAATTTGTTATTTAAACAGGAACATTGCTCATAGAAAATTTAAAAGATGACCGTAATACTGTACATCTTATTTAAACAATGTTTTAATGGCTGTTTAAGTGACATGACCTTAAGGCCAAGTATGTTAACCCATACTCAGAATTTGTCCTCTGCATATAACCCATCCAAGTTACTGTACACATATTAGGAACAGTGAGTTGTGAACACGCACACACTCTGCAAACATTCAATGGACACACCCAGAGCAGCCATTTTGCTGTCTGTGCGTTACATAAACTAAAAGAACTTTTACATATAATATTTTCTGGCTAGATTACTTGACTTTTTATTTCATATAATACACAACTTTTTCCCAAACTGAATAATTAAAAACAAGTTTTTACTGGGTAGCCTAAATCTTCTATAAAAATTTGATTCTTTTTTTTTTTTTCTTTTCCTTTTCCAGTTCTTGTTAAAACTCACTAGTATTTTGGGCACTATTTGTGTGAAATAGTTATTGCTATCTATGGTGAAAACGGATGCGCTGCTTAATATTTTTCGAAAACCATGATTTTTTTTTTCTTTGAATAATAGAAAGGGTTTTTTGCATTGTAAAAATCTTTTGTAAGAATTTCTTACTTCTTATTTCTTATTTCTTACTGTCATCCTTACTGAATAAGTGTTTATTTCTTTTTCTTTTTTTTTTTAAATCTTGCTGGACTCAAACTGTACATTATTATTATTGCTGATATGATGTGGTTCTCACACAGGGATATGCACCACCTCCTAAGAATGGTGTAGAGCAGAAAAGACCGGGCAGACCGCTGAACATCACATCGCTGGTCAGGTTGTCATCTGCTGTACCCAATCAGATAGTAGTCACATGGGCACCTGAAATAGGAAAGGTATGTAAAGTGCCAGTGTACATTGCCACAGCACTGCTTTAGCCATTCATTTATTCTAAGCGTTGTATGTACTTCCATCTTGTTTTCTGCAGACATACTCCATGTCTGTTTATTTGGTGCGGCAGCTGACCTCCCCACTGTTACTACAGAGATTAAGAATGAAGGGGATCAGAAACCCTGACCACTCCAGAGCATTAAGTAAGGCAACATTTCCCTCTTTGAGAAAAAAGATACCCATGTAATCTATATTATAAATATTATCACACTTGCCAAATTTGTGTTCATTGTCTTTCTTTGTCAATCCTTATATATAATTCATTGACTAAATTATTGAAATCATGTACTAATCCACCTTCTTTACTCTTGTAACAGTTAAAGAAAAACTCACTGCAGACCCTGACAGTGAAATTGCCACAACTAGTTTACGAGTCTCACTCATGTGCCCAGTAAGTTACTGCATCTACAAGATCTTAAAGGAAACCCTTTTTTAACATTAATATGAGTTCCCCTAGCCTGTTTATGGTCCCCTAGTGGCTAGAAATTTCAATCGGTGTAAACCAAGCTTTGGCTATCTTTCTCTGCCTTTGGTTAAATGAAAGTTTAGACAGGCTGATCTTGAATCTCCCGTATGACGTCATATGGGGGAAAGGTATCATTCAATCATCAATATTGAAAATCATTAAACTGTTTATGCATAAGTCAAGCGAGTTACTAAAATATCAACTTCACATTGTTTCTTTTAGTAGGATAAAAATAATTTTATTTAAATTGTTAACAAATTATACAGAAAGCCATAAAAGACCAATCTTTCCCCACACGTCAATTTATCTGGACAACTCGTTATGAAATCAATGATGCATGTTACACTGCACAACGAAGCTCTCACTGTATGTACATCATCGTGTCTGGATTGGTGAAAGCATTGGAGAGTGCAGAAACTGCGTTGCAATAACATCTTCATTCTCGCGATCAACAGGCTGTCATCTGCTTGTTCAATGCTCATCACGGCAACATTTTAAGTGATGGTAATAGATCTAAATACTTTAAAAACTTCTCACGACTCGTTAATCTCGATAGCTGTAATTGTAAAAAAACGTATACTAGCTGTAGTAAAAGTATTCAAGAGAGTTTCACATGTAATATGTAGCTATTTCATATGTAAGCATGTCAGCCAATCACAGCAGTGGGTGGGTTACACTAAATCCCACTGCAGACACGCCCCTTTAAACAGAGCGTTCAATTTAGAGGCTAAAATCAAGCTAGGAAAAGTGCCTTTTATTTCTAAATTATGACTATTTTTGATCTAAAACAGGGTTTCTCAAACTCAGTCCTGGAGGGCCACTGTCCTGCAGAGTTTAGCTCCAATACTGATCAAACACACCGGAGCAAGCTAATCAAAGTCTTTAGGATCACTAGAAACTCACAGGTATGTGTGTTTGATCAGGGTTGGAGCTGAACTCTGCAGGACAGTGGCCCTCCAGGACCGAGTTTGAGAAACACTGATCTAAAAAAACATGCATTATAACAGCAACCCAGGAAACATTATAAAATAATAAAATAACCCCATGTCAGGGGACCTTTAACTGACTTTTGTATGTCATTTTAAGCAACAGGTTTAAGCTCTTGTTTGGTCTTTGATTTAGTTTGGCAAAAAAAAAAAAATTGTCTGACCAAATAAGTTGTCTTTTTATACAGCTTGGCAAGATGCGCCTTACGGTACCCTGTCGAGCTGTCACCTGTTCCCACCTGCAGTGCTTTGATGCTGCTCTATACCTGCAAATGAATGAGAAGAAGCCCACCTGGATCTGTCCCGTTTGTGACAAAAAAGCCACATATGAGAGTCTGATTATAGATGGGTGAGATTACATTCACTGTAGCTGAGGTGCCATTTTAAACCACAATCCCTGAATATTTTTGCCTTTATTGAGATAGTAAATATGCATGGTGTAAACTGGGCACTCTCTACTTGTCAGGCTCTTCATGGAAATACTCAATGACTGCACAGATGTTGATGAAATCAAGTTTCAGGAGGATGGGACTTGGTGTCCAATGAGACCAAAGAAGGAGACATTAAAAGTGTCATCTCCGTGTATCCCAAAAATTGATTGTAAGGTTCTACCGTTAATAAGTGTGTGAGCTTTATCTTTGTCTGCCAGATTTCACTTAATTGTAAATAGGATTTCCATTTTTTTATGCATTTTGAATGTATTTCATGGCCCCTTAGGTGCTGTCACAGTGAGACAAAGTGCAGTGGTGCCACCTCCAGAAAACAGCAGTACAAAAAAGGCAGACGTAATTGACCTTACGCTAGAAAGCTCGTCTGATGATGAGGATGATGATGATGATGAGGACAGCGATCCTCCTCTGAAAAAGCGCTGTGTTTACATGTCAAAGGCAGAGGATATGCACAGCAAAGGGTTTGTGTTCATTCATTTAATTAAACCAGGCATCTTCTAGACCTGGGTACATGCAAGTTGATAATCTTAAAAAAAAAGAATGGAAAGTTATTTTATTTTATTTATTTTGCACTCAAAAATGTTTATTAGCCAGAAATTGTATTAATATTATCATGGTAACACTTTACAATAAGGTCTTATTTGTTAACATTAGTGTATTAACTATTATGAACTAACAATGAGCAATACATTTGTTACTGTATTTATTAATCTGTGTTAATGTTAGTTAATAGAAATCCTGTTAGTTCACAGTGCATTAAATAACATTAACAAATACTAACGTTTCTCAATGATAATGTTGCTTTGTGTTTATTGGTTTTCATATGAACCTATTTTCATGCGTTAGGGTCTTGACTTATCAGCCTTCAACTGTCCGGGTGCCAAATGTCCAGGCTCTGGACACCTCATACCTGACCTCCTCAATAGCAGACTATTCGGTTCCATTCCACCATTCAACCTTATCCACTATTCCCACAGATATGCAAAGTATGCACTTATCCAGTCTGCCATCCAATCAAATATGCTTTAATTTATGCTCAAGCTTTTACAGGAATACTAACATGTCAAACTACACACATCTTTCCCATAGGTCTTGATTTATTTTCTCTGATTCAAGGGGATCCCCAGGTATGAGTGAAACATTCTTACAAAGACATATTAAGATTGCACGCATGCATACATATGTGTATAGTCTGCAGTGCTGTTTACCTCTAGTTTCCTTTATTGTTCTTTCAGCAACATTACAGAGGCCCCATATTTTTAGACAATCTCTCCAGCAGCCTTCAGAGTGCCACCACCAGCGCCAGCCTGGTCTCCTCTTCTTCGCAGTACGAGACTGCAACCCATGGCAGCAGCTCAAGTCATGAGACGGGTGTGATCACGGGAGGATCTTCAAGCCTATCAGACATTATCTCTCTAGACTGACTCCCAGTGCATCTTTATTGGCCAGTCACCAAAACAACTACACTCAAGTCAGTAAAAACTATTTTGACATTTGACTAAGGACCTCAAGAATCTTGTTCGACAAGGACCCAGAAGGACTGCTATGAAAGTGGGTCAACAACAATACCGTTTTAAAATGCAAACCTGAATTAAGCCGTTTTCCCTGGAATTGGGGAAACTATTGGTTGCACAATGACTCTTTCATTAGCTATTTAATTGAAGGAGCAGAGCAAAACAAACTGCGTAAATGAGTGGACTGGAAAGCTCAGACACTTCCAATAACTGCACTCTTGTCTCCATTTTGTGTTGCTTCAGCAGTTCTGCAGTTGAAACGAAAGCAGGTTTTCAGCGGCAGCTCACTTTTTATGTCTCTTCTATTTCAGCAGTGTAATTATGTTTTGTTACAAGATTTCAGTTGCAGCAATAAAAAAACGGTTTGTTCGTTGTATATTTCGACATTTAGTGGTCTTATATCAAGGTAGAATGAGTCAACAGGGTTTATTAAAAATTATTATTTAAATTTGTGGTTATTTGCTCAAGGGCCATCAGATTCCCTGTTGCTGATGCAGTGTAAACCTATTTTTGATCTGTAATTTTATATTGAAGTATTTTTTCTTATGTTAACACATCTAACATATTCACCTCAGAAACTATAATATGATTGTTGATAACTAAGGGAGTAATTTGTCTAATTGCATGGTTCTTGGTCATTATAATACCAGCAACTGCATGAAATGAAAAAGAGGCCATTCATTGTTCTCAAGATTATGGATCAAAGTTTTGATATAATACAATAACAATCATGAAATACAAAAATTGGTCTTTTAGAAATTGGCATTTATAAAGCTTACTTAATGGATGAGCAGTTTTCAGTCATTTTATATGGGCTGACTTATGATTATGAGACATACAACATGCATTCATTTTGACAAAGTCTGAAGGTGTTTTTTGTTTGTTTTTGTTTTATAGAAGGTCCTCTGTGTTACTTGTGTACTATTTTGATTCGAAAATGCCTTTATATTTTGATGTAAAAAACAAACAAACAAACAAAAAAACAGTGATGCGTTGTAAATGTTGATGGAGTGCTTTTATTGTCCCTCTCGATCAGGGCTGAGGTTTTTAATCGACATAGCTCTCCATTGATGATGGCAAAAGTAAAGCTGTTGAGAATCTTTAATTCTTAGCACAAAGGGGGGTACAGTTTAAGATGATACATATACATCCTAAGACATGTAATTCAATACACAGTGATTAAAGCAATATTTCATGTTCATCTGAAAAAATATATTTTTCAAGTCGAAATATTATGTCCAGATTGCTGTTGTATTTGCTGTCATTCATGTATGGACGCATCCACACAAGTTTAACTTGCTCAGATTTTATTTTCTGCAAGATTGAGCAGCTTTGAATATTTAAATTAAGCTCTATAGATTTTATTTCAATTAAAGTCTATTTATTTGTGTAAACATTATGCCATACACTTCAGAGTCATCACATTAATATGGTAAGGTTAATAGCTTTAATCACTATATAGAATCCAGAGGTGTTTATAGTTTGTCCAGGAAGTTGTCCAGCGGTGGGATGCCCTCCTTCAGACCTTTCCGCTTACGGGTCTCCGCCACAACTTGGCAAGGCTTGCTGTTTACGTCATAGGGGTCACCTGGCAAAATCTGCCAGTGGTCAAACACACATTGAGGGAAGGCCTGTCCACCAGTGTTAGACCTCAGGTCTGCTGTAAAACCTGTTCAGAAAAAAATGCAAGCGAATTATAGGCACTAAGGTACTGAGTGAAGACTTGTGTTAATGGCCGCAATATAATAATTCAGAAATGTATACCATTTGGCAGTTGGCACCATTCAAAACTGTTTAACTGCTATAAATCATGTGTTTATTGTTGAATATAAAAAAATGCATCAATGTCCTAATGCTGTCATTTTGAACAAGCTGTCAAATCTGAAGTGTTAACTCACCAAATGATTCATTTACAGGTAGGTATGCCTTCACCACAAAAATAGGTGTCCCAGCCACTTGGGACTCCTCAAATACATGGCCTCTTTTTCTGTTCAGCACACCATAGATGCCACCAACAACCTGTTCTGGGCACTGGAGGGGAAAAGAAAATACAATTAATGGCATCAAGATTGCACTCTCGTTTTTCTGTTCCAGGAATCCACCATGTATACCTGAATCTCGACCAGGTAAATGGGCTCCATGAGTCTCGGCTGTGCAGTAAGCACGGAGGCATACAGAACTCTTCGGGCTGTGGGAATGATCTGACCGCCACCTCTATGGATGGCATCAGCGTGAAGAGTGACGTCATGAATGTCAAACCGGACTGCCCGCATGTTCTCTTCACAGAGTGCACCCTGGTAAGGTAACACAAAATTGTTTCTGTTGAAGTATCTCATTATGATAATGTAAACGGTATGAATGTCCAAGCATGAACTCACTTCTTTTGTTGCCCACTGGAAACCAGCCACTACACTGTCCTTTATCTCATTTAGATACTGAACTCCCTTTGTGACATCCACAAGGACGTTGGGCCCTGTGCCATCTGGTCCAAAGCACCAAATCTTACGGGCCTCGCCCACTTCCCACTCATATTTCTCAGACAGGTAGCGAGCTCTCTGTTTGAGCTCCTGCCGAGAGGTCACGTCACCCTTATCGATGTCCTCGGCCAAGCCATCTGGGAAGGGCTTGGATTTCATGTACAGACGATTGTGCTTGTTGGGAGACTTGGACAAGCAAACTTGGTCTGATTCTTCACTGACTGTTTCACGATAAGACACAACTGGATCTGATTTCTGCAACAAAAATTACTAGTGGATTAGAATAGAAAGTATTAGAGGAGAAGAATAGAATAAAACATATCTGTTGTATACTCTTTAGTATTCTCATCCAAGCGCTACCTTCAGAGGGATGCCGGCATGATCTTCCTCAAGATCTTTTAGACAAATCTCCAGATGAAGCTCTCCAGCACCTGCCACGATGTGCTCACCAGACTCTTCAATGATACACTAGCAAAAGGTGGAACACAACTTGTATTTATTATTGGAACGACTGAACTACCCCACCGTTTATCACTTATTACGTTCAGATATTCACCTGAACCATGGGATCAGACTTGGCGAGACGTTTGAGACCTTCCACCAACTTTGGCAGATCTGCTGGGTTCTTGGCCTCCACAGCAACTCTCACCACAGGACTAACGCTGAACTTCATAACACGCATGTTGTGGGCATGTTCAAAAGTGCTAATGGTGCCAGTTTTGACCAGGAACTGATCAACCCCAACCAAACCAGCAATGTTCCCGCATGGCACATCTTCAATGGGCTCTACATAGCGGCCCATCATTAGGATAGTTCTGGGGAGACCATTGAGTAATGATCATGAAATCAAATCAAGTAAAGATGAATTATACTGTAAATGCAGTTGACAGCAGCAAACCTTTGGATTGGCTTTATGTACAAGTCCTCCTTCTTTCCTGGTGTGAAGTTCGGGCCCATGATGCGCACCTTCTGCCCTGTAGAAACAACACCAGAGAAGACCCGACCAAAGGCATAGAATCTACCCTTGTCAGTGGTTGGCACCATCTTGGAGATGTACATCATGAGAGGAGCTTTAGGATCGCAGTTCTTCACACCTTGAAAGTCAAAGGAGGAAAATGTAAAAGTTGTAGAAAAAAAGCACATCTCTCTAGCCTGGGAAAACCCAGACAACTTACGGCAAATGTAGATTTGCTCTGCAAGTTAGTCTGGCAAAGAGCCCATTTCTAAATCGCGGCACTAATTCGAAACGTTGGGGCGGGCTTTACACGATGACGACAGCACGGCGATGGTGAAGCAGATTTTGTACATTTACAAAGATGGATGCCGCCGTGGAACTAGGGGTGTGATGGTATGTCATTAGAACTCTATCACCGCCAAAACCATGTTATAAAAACAATTTATTTTTTTATCATAGAGAATGTTTAAATACTAATATCAGGTTACGAGGGAAACGGAGGTGGAGTTAGTGGTGCTTCGGAGGCTGCTACAGCTAGAGATGATTGAGGAGAGGTCTGTGCCCCCCCTCGCAAAAAGAAATCTTGGAGATCTCCTTAATAAACGGAGGTCTGAAATCTCTGCCCCTTTACCGATCAAAGCGCGCGCTTATATGGAGTAAAGGCTTGTTTATACTCGACGCGTCCGCACGAGTGCGAAGTTGCAAGACCGAAAATATTGCGCAAGACCGGCAAGACCCCATTTCGCTTGGCTGTGTGCACGGCTTTTTTGTAACAGCGTGCGCCGTGTCCGAGGATGAACGACTTAAGCTGAATCTGCCCGAGCATGTAGTCTCACTGCACCGGCACCCAGTTTACACGTCTAAATTGCTACGTTTTTTTTGTTAAGGTTTTATTTACTGTGTGTGATTTATTTAATGGAAAGCACATTCACTTCTAGTTGTCTTGCTGTTAATTTTAAATAAATGTATAGCAAGTAGCGTTAGCTAATCAGTGTCTGCTCTACAACAGACCAACGTCATTCTGCATGTGTCATTTCCTTCATCGCTCTGATTGGTTTTAGGTCTATCCAATTGCGCCCAGAGGCATTTAAACTACGTCCGTTGGTGACGCCCCTTTCGAAATGATTTGTCTATGAAGCTTTGCTAGACCATAACACCGTGTCCTAACTACACGCGACGCGATCAAATTCCAGCGACAGCAAGTGTCTGTCCACACTAGACGCGACTGTGAGACGCCACACATTATTAATCAAAAATCACAGCCATTCAGAACAGCGTGTGGGCGTAGTCTCTCTGTGAAAGCACACTGCTGGCCCACACTCGCATTGGAAATGGGTAAGGACATAATCAAATCAAGAAATAACATAATTAAAAATCAAAACCCTAACAAAATATACTCATTGACTAATTTTGTTATGAAGTACAGTTGTATGTTTGCATAGAATTCATTTTCAACGCTATATTACATGCTTTCAAAATCTGAGGTAAATGACACCTTGTAATGTGGTGACTTACCCATAGCGGCCTCGTCATCTCCAGGACCCTCGTAAAGCAGTTCACAGCGGTACTTCTGGGCAGTGACCGGAGAAGGAAGATGAATGGTAATCATCTGGAGCAAAGCATCACCTGCAGGCAACCAGCGGCGCATCACAGCCTGGAAGCATTCGAAAAACCATCTCAACACCAATACCAGTTTAATTAGGGTGCAGGTTTTTAAAAGTCATTATTTCTAGTTGTACCTTAAGTAGAGGTTTCCCTTCTTTTTCTTTGTCCTCTGCATCAAGCTTTACTTCAAGTTTCTCAACCAGTTTCTGGGTCTCTTCTTTGTTGAAATTCATAATGGCATCAAATACCTGTGGAAAGAGTGAGTGGTAGTAATCAGAGTGGTAGTAGCAAGAGACGAGTGTCAAGAAGAACTGATTCAAACCAACCTTAAAGATGGGATCCAAGACCAGTTGGCAGAAAGTACGCGGAAGCTTCTTGCCATCTGCATTGGTTGCCGATTTGCTAAATTTTCCACAAGCGGGATCAAAATACCTGGAAAGGATGGCTTTGAATTAAAGAGATTTCGTATATATTTACATTGTACTTGTAACTTTGTGGTCAAATGTCGTCTTTATAACACAAGACACTTACTTATCTCCCCAAAGCTTTTTCATCATCTCTTCCACTTTCTTAGCTCGTTCTGCTGGAGAGAGGTCTGTTTTTTTCTTATCTCCTTTGGCAGCAAACTTGGCCACGTACATTTCAGCAAACTGCTTCAGAGTAAAAGCCCAGCCATGGAGACCTGACCCAAATCCCACAGTCCCAACCACAGGATCCACCTAAGGTACCCCAGAAACCAAGTTAAGTCGCCTTCATTTATATTATATAGAGCTTTTAACAATATAGATGGTTTCAAAGCAGCTTTACATTGATTATAAGAAATTAAAGTAACAGTGATTGTTTTGGCTTTACAGCAGCTCTAGAATTAAGTTATCGTCCAGCTAAAGTTAGTTTTGATTGATTCACTTCCGTTGCAAAGATCATTAGTTATTAACTTAGGGGGCGCTAACACGACACCGTTCTAACAGAAAACCCTCAACAACAGTGCCTGGTGGCTCGAGAACTCAAAACTTGAAATAGGTTCCAAGGTGCAAGCCTTAAAACGTTCTGGGGGAAAAAGTGATCTCCGCGCAAACTTCAAAAATGTGAACCTATGAGAACTCTGACGGCATGCACATTGCGTATTACGTGTTTAGTCTATTGGTATGCGGATTTGAA